TGAAGACTTTGGCCTCTCCACTTCCTTCCTTCCTGTGACCCCACATGCTAAGCCAAGTCTAGGCTCAAGTCTGGCTCTCTATCTTGACTGCTGATCTTTTTCATCTGTAAAATGGGGACAATGATATCCCTGCCTCAAAGGGATGTTGTGAGTGGTAATACCGGGAAATGACCAAAACCAATCTTGCTGGATCATTGGAGATGTTTGCACCTGGGAGTCTGGCAGTTCCTTTTTTTCTCAAAGGATTATTGGAAACCTCTACAGCATTTGTGAGCAAAGCATCCAATGACACTGAGGATGAAATCATGTGGAGTATAGTCCATAAATCATTGGCACATGATACTTCCTAGAACAATATCTCTCCCTTCTCCCTTACTGCTTCCTTATCTCCATTCTCATATAAATTCTGCTGTTCTTTTTTACCTCGGTGCTACATTGCCAGAAGAAGCCAGCTCCTAGCACAATCATTACGGGTTCGGTAGGCGCAATTGTACAGCGATAATAAGTAAATATTATAGTAAAGTTATAGAGAGCATGAGCGATAGGAGAGATATATAGAAATAAATGGAGTCAGACACATTTCATGGTAGCATTGCTCACCTCAGCCCCGCTTGGTGGTCCACACGGAGGGAGAAACTTTCATGCTTCCCAAGCTTTTATCCTCTCTGGGGACGTCAAGCTCCCTAATTACAGGTGAAGACACACGTCACAGGAAAGGGTTGTGCTATAGGTGTTACAGAAATGGGAGGGGGTGCTCTAGGGGTATCCACGCAATAGGAAGAAGAGGGAATCGGTGTAGACATTGGGGGCAAGATGGGCAGGTCTTAGATACAAGATGGCAGCCTAACTTTGAATATCACAGAGCCGGTCTGGCTTGTTCCTGGCCCAACTGATAGAGACCATTATCAGTAGGGTGTAAGCTCCGCCTACAGGAGCCTGTCCTGTTGTCCCCAGCAGCAGGGAGCAGGGCCCACTGCAATTTGGGGAGATGCCTGCTAGCATCTACCTCCCCCATTGCATCTTTTGTGTATAACTTGAGTCTATCATTTGATGTATTGTATTGCAATTTCTTTATCTGTCTTCTCCCATAGAATATAGGACTAGTTTCAGGGGACAAAAGGCACCCCCAAAGCTCAAATATGCTCTGCATTTACTAAGTGGTAAGCAGAACCAAGACCAAGACCAAGACAATTCATCCGAATGAGGGAGACCTTCGACAGGAAGTGGCCAAGGATTTACAGAGAGCGGGCGCCTCACGTAGGACATGGGTGTCCAGGGAGATTGTCAGAAAAGCGAGATTGGGGCAGATCAGAACATCCCAGTTGCGGGTGGGACGATAAGCAGGAATGGACCGTGGTTGGGCCGTGTACATCATGGGAGAGAGCAGAGCTGTCAGGATGGGCGCAGGGCCCTCCAACCAAGGCAGACAGGGTCTGACTCATGACCATGTGGTGGTACTCTGCTTTCCAGTGTGCTCTGCCTGGGAGCACAGCTGTTTACATTACTGGTTAGTCAGAAAGAATTCAAATAGAAGCTTCAGTCCACACAGAGACATGAAAATGGAGGTTGGGCTTTCCCTGGAAACCGTAGCCTGCTGCCAACGTACAGCTCCGAATGTAAGCGCTAACACAGAGCTCCCCTGAGAGGGAGGCCCAGCGCCTGGCGCATCTTTGTGTTCCCACGCTTGACAGGTCCCCAAGGATGCGGGAGCCCAGTGACCGTGGTGGAACTTTCTCTGCTCTCTGCCTCACACTCCTTCCGGCTCTGCCTCCTCATCCTCCTCCCCTCTCCCCTGTCTCTCACACCTCCACGTTCTCTCGTCCTCTCCTTTCCCCCCAGATGTTCCTCACCGGTGTGGTGCCTCGATCCTGTGCTCCTGTGGGCCAGAGGGAGCCCTCCAAGGGCCAGCTGGCTGTCGAGCTTGGGCCCCAGAGGCCTCTCACCCGGCAGAATAGCAAGCACCCCTTTCACTGCCTGCCAGTGGCTTTCCTCTCCTTCCGCTGGTTTCTTGTTCTGTGTAGCTGTGTCTGCCATCGCCTCTGATAAACTGACATCTTCTTTTCTGTATAGAGTTTATCTGGTCTCTCGCCTAAGCATTACCCTCCAGTTCTACCTTCTTTTTATTTATTTGTTTTATTAATTATATATATTTTTATTTTAATAAATCATTTTATTGGGGGCTCTTACATCTCATATAACAATCCATACATCCATTGTGTCAAGCACATTTGCACATATGTTGCCATCAGCCTTTTCCAAACATTTTCTTTGTACTTGAGCCCTTGGTATCAGCTCCTCGTTTTTTCCCCCTCCCTCCCCAACCCTCTCACCCTCACGAGCCCTTGCTAAGTTATAAATTATTATTATTTTCATATCTTACATCATCCTCACCCCGGGGGGTGGTTATATGTCGATCATTGCATTTGGTTCCCTTTCTCCCCTCGCCTTCCTCTTTTCAATGAAAACACTACTTTAAAATTTCTTTCTTTCTCTCTGAGTTGCACTGGCAAGAAAGAGCTTCTGGCTTCTCCCCGCTGCCTGTGTGACTGTGTAGCATCAGCTCACAGCTGGTCTCCCTGTGTGTAAAATGGGTAGAGGCGCCGTTGCCTCACACAGGTGGCGGTTATGAAACTCAGGTGAGGTAATGGCCCAGGCCGATGTGCCTGCCAAGTCAACAGAAGCAAGACTAGAAGTGTGAGGACATGCAGGCACAAAAGGGCAATCCGAGGGCCGGGGATTACTTCTGTCACCCGCCATCTCCTGCCCTCAGTCTCTTCTCCCGAGTCGGGACTGTTGCTGGTGGGCGCCTCCTCCTTGGTAGAGTTATGTTTAGAGCTATTATGTCTTCATGACACAAGTAGCTAAGAGAGCTTCTTTTTGTGCTCTGAACAATATTAAATTAATTAGCATTTTTTACTGTAGAAAGTGTAGTACTCTTCTATGTGTATTACACTAGTTTTATTAGACTCTCAAGAATGTCTGGATAAAAAGTAAAATTGATGTTTAGATTATTGTTATATTTTTTGAAAATCATTTTATTGGGAGCTCATACAGCTCTTGTAATACATCCATGCATCCATGTGTCAAGCACATTTGTACATTTGTTGCCACCATCATTTTCAAAACATTTTCTTTCTACTTGAGCCCTTGGTATCGGCTCCTCATTTTTTCCCCTCCCTCCCTGCCTCCCAGACCCTTGATAATTTATAAATTATTCTTCCATGTCTTACACTGACCGATGTCTCCCCTCACCCAATTCTCTGCTGCCCATCCCCCAGGGTGGGGGTTATATGTAGATCATTGTGATCGGCTCCCCCTTTCTCCCCCCACCTTCCTCTTCCCCTCCTGGTATCGCTCCTCTCACTATTGGTCCTGTGGGGTTTATCTGCCCTGGATTCCCTGTGTTTCCAGTTCCTATCTGTACCAGTGTACATGCTCTGGTCTAGCCAGATGTGTAAGGTAGAATTGGGATCATGATAGTGGGGGGGCTGGAGAAGCATGATATTTCCATTATTAAAAAAATTTTACGGAATCAGTTTGAATCTACCTACAAATATTTAGTTAGCCATTCACACTTTCAATTCTCAGGAACTATTTCTTAAAATTGTTTCACTGCCTCCCTTCTTAATGCTCACCAGGAACCAGCTTCTGAACCACCCTGGTCTCAGGTAAAGACTTCGCCTAGCTGCAACCTTTAGATGAGAGGTCTTTCGTTGCTGTTGCTCAGTTGTTGCTGTAGAGTAGCAAATGTGCTGCCCATCTGCTTGCTTGTGGCGGTGTACGACTAGCCAGACCTCCCACCCTCTCTCTTGCAGTTGGGTAAGTATATCAATAACAAAACATTTGTCACATCAGCATTTTTTAAGTGTACACATTCTCTGTTGTATGTAAGCAACTGTGTTTCTTAGTTCGTTTGTGTATGTGGGTGGCCTTGCCGAACTAAGACACTTCTTGACTAAGACGTGGAACTTAAGGGGAAACGACCATGATTGATCAGAAAGATGAGGACTATCAAGAATGGGTGAAGGGAAACCCTGGGCTTATGGAGGAAGGGTCCCCAGGCCCCTGTGCTTGCAAAGACTGCAGGGGGTGGGGCAGGATGTCCTGAGTACAGAGCAGCCTGCCTGCTGAGAAGGCCTGGATTTTATTTTAACTGATCTCAGGACCCCTGGTGGTGTAGGGCTGCTAACTGCTAAGTCAGTATTCTGAACCGTCAACATTTTCCTGGGAGAAAGATGGGACTTTCTACTCCTGGAAAGGGTTCCGGTCTCAGAGGCCCACAAGGGCAGTTCTGCCCTGTCCTATAGGGTCGCTGTGACATGAGTCCGCACCGGTTTGGTTTGGCAGCTCCCAGAGGGAGCAGCCTGCAGCAGTGAGGGAGGAAGGCTTTGGCCAGCCACGTCCACGTCCCCGTCCACGTCAGCTCAGGACAGGAAGCAGCCGGAAAGAGCTGCTAGCTGGATGAGTTAGCAAATGAGCTGGGAGGGCACCCTGGGAAGAGGAGGCCTGGCTAAGGGGCCACCTGGCCCGTGATGTTTTTAGCTCAGGAGAGTTTCCAGTGGGCGGGAGTAAGGAGAAAAGCTGTCACCCCCAGAGCTGCAGTATCAGAGAGCCAGGTGTTTGCCCTGTCGCGCAGGGCGGGTTTTAAGTGTTTTCTGTATAAATCAATGATGGGGACTTTTCGTGTGGGGCTCAAATGTATGATCCTCGAACCTGTTAGATGAAAGCACTGCTCAAAGTAACTGCCGATTAAACAGTCCCCGCCTGGGTTAAAACACGATGCTCCTCTCTCTTCTTTAAAGGGTATGATTTACCTTTGAAAGCTCGTCCTCAGGAGTTAAAAACAGAGATGGGCAAGCTTATTGTTTGCGTACTATGTATACGTGTCATCCAAGGATTTAATTTGTAAATGGAGTAAGTAATGTGACTTGATTCCAATAACTTTAGATTTGGATTACAATTAAATTCGGCATAAATTAAAATTAACAATAATTTGCAACATGGGTATGGTTTGAAAGTTCAAACCGAGCAGAGGGGTTCGTGAAGAATCCTTCTTTCTTATTTACTGTTCCTTTCCAGTCACTATAGACTTAACTAGGGAACCCCGGGGCTACAGTGGGGTGAGCGGTGGCCCACCCATCGTAAAGTCTGTGTTCAAACCTGACGGCGGTTCAGGTGCTCCGTGGGAGAAGCATGAGGCTGTCTGCTCCTGTAAAGAGCTACCAAGTCTTGGAAACCCTGGATGGAATTGACTCTGCGGCAGAGGGATTAGGCTGATAGACGTCGTGATGTGGATACTGAGATCGTTGGGCAGTGAGTGAATCTAAAAGAAGAAAGAGAACAATACTAACCGGATTCTTTGGAGCTCACGCTTATGCTGGGGTGTGTGTGTGTGTGTGTGACGTTTATTTATTTGTTTTTGCCATTTTAGAACATCAAAAGAAATAAGACTGTACGTTAACACTTGAATATTTTTGTGCCAGCGTCACTTTTCAAAGCAAGAGGCAGCATGTCAGATGGTGCTGACCCTTAAATCAGGTCAGACGGACGGTCTTTCCCGTAGCCTGGTAGCAGGATGGTTTCCTGAATGCCCCCACCGCCGGCCCCGCAATCCGGGAAGGGAAACAATGAAAAACTAAAACCGGTGGGCCCAAGAAGGGTCCTTCCCAACCGGCCAAGGGGTCAGTGCCAACCGGGAAAATGGCCTCAACCTAAAAAAAAGCAACCCGCAATTTCCCGAAGCAAGGAATTAATGCCCTAACGGGTCATCCAGGCTCAGTTCGTGGATGGGTGCGATTGTGTCACAGATTGAGGAGTGACGGAATTGATAGAATGGATAATCAACTGCGCTTTTTTTCTAAAAACATTCTTCAACATCTGTTTTTTAAAGCCAATTTCACCTTGTAAATACTGCCAAGACATAGATATTCAAATGCATTTACATCAGTAACTAGGTTTTAAACTTCATGACCTCTAGCTCTTTATTAGCAAGCAAGAGATACCTGTTACCACCAATTTGTATTTCCATTCAGATTCGAGGGCAGTTTGGGTCTATGGTCTTATGCCATCCTTGTCCTGCATTTTATTTTAATCACCAATTAGTTTGGAACTTTGTTTTTTAAACAGACAGATGATTTTAGGACTGTAAAACGTGTTTGGCTTATTTCCAAAATAAAAATCCTGTATTATATTAAAGCCAAAGCCCCATCTGCTGTTTTCATTAAATCTCAAGAGTGGCTCACATTGCCAGGAGCAGTTCTTTGAATACAATCTGATGTAATCAAGCAGTGATATGTGATTTTCAAGGTCATTTTCTCTCTCTCTCTTCTGGTTGTTATTGTTGCTAAGCTAGAAGAAAAGCCAGGGAAACCAACTTTCTCAATCACTGGTAAATATGATCCTGAAAAATGGCATAAGTAGACTTTATTGCAGCCCTTTAGGAATACAAATGTTCAAACCATTATCGCTATTTCTGAAGAATAAGATCTCGAGACGAATTAAATACAGATAGATATTATATTATATATAAATCCATGATAGGATGGAAAACTTCAAGAAACCCCGTTCTGAAGTCTTTTCATTTTGGGGGGGGCATTTATTTCTCGTCTTTGGTTTACGTAATCATTTTGTACCACCTTATATTTAAGAGTAAGCGTTGGGCTGGTAACCATCTGGTTGGTGGTTCAAACCCACCAGCCGCTCCTCAGGAGAAAGCTGAGGCAGTCGTCTTCCCTAAAGAGTTACAGCCGCAGAAACCCTAGGGAGCAAGTCTGTTCCCCCTACAGGACTGCAATCAACTCGACAGCAGTTATATAAATGATATGGTGCTTATGAAAACTTGGCTTTTAATAAAATCGGTTTAACCCACGAGCCCTGGCAGTGCTATAGGCTAGGCCTTGATTTGAGTCAATTCTGACTCATAGTGGGCCTATAGGCTGCTGATCCTGTGGCTAGCAGTCCAGTGTGCAACCGCTACTCCGCCAGGGGTCCAAAAATGATTGTTTGCAAGCCTCGCTAGCTCCTCACTGTCAGGTTAAAAAATCCATGCAGTTCCCTCCTGTGTTCCAGCATATACAGGCAGCCATCTGGCCCCCTCCTTTTGTCCAGTTTTCTGCTCCTGTTTCCCCTTCGCTCAGCCTGACCCATTGACCATGCTCAACTACTTGGAGTTTCCAAAGCATAGGGGCCTGTCTGTCACGGGCTGGGGCCAGCTGCTTCGCTTCTTCCACTCCAACTAGATGCCTTCTCCTCCGTGGCATATTGCTCCTGATTTCCGTAATTACACTGACCCTCTCAACTCTCACTGCTCTCAGTCAGTGTGGACTCATAGTGACCCCCTGTGGGTTTCCATGATTGTAACTGGATGCCGGAGTAGAAAGCCCAGTCTTCCACGGAGTTGCTGGTGGTTTTGAACGGCTGACCATGAGGATCACAGCCCAGTGCGCAACCGCTTCACCCCCAGGCCGGGCTCACTTGCTGCAGCACACTGAGATTCTTCAGAGCTCCGGCTGCTACTGTGGCTCCACCTTCCCAGTCCCCGGACCTGACGCAGTAGCTGGGCTTGTTACCATGGGAATGGACCTGTTACCATGGGAATGCAGTCACTCCTCCTGTCCACCAGGGAGCGCTGAGCAAGGAGTGCCCTTTAAAAAGAAGAAAATCACCACTTACCAGCAGGGCGGTGTCCTTGGGGGGATTTAAAACAAATGAGGATGGCCTGCGTCCAGCTTTGACATTCAACTGTTAGCCCCACCCAGCCCCTCATGATAGCTGTGCAGATGTAGTCCCTTAAGTGGCCTCTTAGGAGCGATAGCCTCCAGTTGTATGGTGACCCCCATGGGTCAATGCAGTTCCATTGGGAATTGATGATAATCTGCTCATTCAATTGTGCTAAGTTCACATATCATACTTGAAAGAGTTGATTGTAAATGATCTGATCAGGATCCAGGAGACTTCTTTCAGGAAAGTAAACAACAGAAGCCACCAGCTTGGAATCAGATGTC